ATTATTTTACACATTTATCGCTCTAAAGGTCAATTATAAGGGAACTAAAGAAACAACACTATGCAAAATGAATAAACCAATTTCTGTTGCCATCACCATATGTTTTTCTTATCACTTATGGTTTTTCCAGTTACTGTGTACATAGCATTCAATTAAAGCGATTCATTTACCAGGCTGAATATGGTTTGTGTTTATAGAACTGTGCTTTGGAGGAGAGGAAACAACACGCCTCTATTTGAATTACCTGATTTTTTGCAAGATCAGTGATAAGAGACAGATGTTCTCACCAGTTACTTTCTCATAACCACAATCTTTTGATAAGCTGCAAATTCACAATTATCATCTTAGTGATCTTTTCACACTCAACGTATAGTATGCACTTGGACTTCTAACCAGAACAAGAGAAAAATACTGGTTTGGTGATCTGTTCACTATATTGCAACATTTTGCAGAATGAATTTTAATTTCTTTGAACAAAAGCATGTGAAAGATCTTTGTCTATGTGTCATATGTTCAACTCTCAAAAATAAACCTCATTTTATTTTAGATTCCATGTATCATTGAGCCTATTGTTTAGTTTGTGGTTTAGTCTATTTAACGTGTGAAAAAGAAACTAATTCTTGCTATAAAACTAACTTGAACTTCTTTGTATTAAGTTCTGGAACTCCTAGAAAAATGAATCCTAGAAAATCTAAAATGATAATTTTCCTGTTTTTCTTTTAGTATTTGCCTTGTAAAACACTGTGGCTAATTGCCGTAATGCTTTGTTAAGAGTGTTGCTTGAAAGCACTAATTTCTAGAACTTTTGAATTTCTGGGATAATGTGTGATCTAAGAGGCTTGTTTGTGTGCCACCTTTGAAGTGTCTTAAACTATTCTTTCTGTAGATCAGCAAAGTAATAGTTCACTGAATTATATAAACTACACCTGTAAAGTAAATTTTACAAAGTAAAACTCTTCAGAGTCCTTTCTTTTTGAAAAATAATTATTTAATTGCTACTCTATTTACTTCTTTATGGCTCTTTTCATTTTACAAAGGCGTATGTTCTTATCTGCTATCCCATTACATACAACTCCGTAAGGGAGTATCATTCCATTTTATGGAAGAGAAGCATGAAGCTCTGGGTATGACTTGATCTGCCCACAGTCACACAAGGTTTTGAACCTAGGCCTCATGGCTCAAGTTCTAGAGTTCTTTTCACCACGCTAGAGTGCAGGGCTGTTTCTCACTAGCCATCTCAGTGGAGGCAGCGCTGAATAGCATCGAATCACACAGTACAAAGGATGGCCCCTTTCCTCCTCTCTGCAGGTTCTTGTGATACTCTTAGGTAGGCCAGCTGGAGTTGAGAGAAGTAGTTCTCTCACACCACCCTGACATTGCATTCTGTGCTCATATTTAACAAGGAGAGCTGGTCTCAGACCCAGAGTCTTCATCAGAGGATGATATTTTTAGCAAAAATTTAGCAGCATTGGTTACTATCATTGTATTACTTGAGTTACTTTTTACTTATGAGAAAGGATACACATAAGTTTTTCAGAACAATTGGGCCATTATTCTAAGCAAAGTAACTCGCGAATGGAAAACCAAACATTGTATGTTCTCTCTCGTAAGTGGGAGCTAGCTCTGAGTATGCAGAGGCATAAGAATAATACAGTGGACTTTGGGGACTTGGGGGAAAGGGTGGGAGATGGTGAGGGACAAAAGATTACAAATTGGGTACAGTGTTTACTGCTCGGGTGATAGGTGCACCAAAATCTCACAAATCATCACTAAAGAACTTACTCATCTGACCATATAGCACCTGTTCCCTAAAAACCTATGGAAATAAAAAAATTAAAACATGAGTCACTTTGAAAACCCTGTTAGGCAAGTAATGTTCACTTTGGACAGGGAGATGGCAAAAGGCATGAGGGTTGCATATGAATGACTGATGTCTGAGAGCATCATCCTGTCCCATGTATATATAAAGCCCTGGAGGCTGTAAGGGAGGTTTCAGATTTTTATTATATTTTTCAAAGACTCCTGTTATAGCTGTGTCTTAATGTATGGTGGGGAAGGTGAAAGAAGGATTCTACTGAGTTAGGAAATCAGTGGGGCATTTTGTGGATGTCCTGCTGCTGGGAATATGCAGTGGTTCTTCTTTGAGTACCACATGGTTATTCCTAATTTTAAAATGTTATCACAAAGATACAATCTTCGAGTTGTTCCATTTCAGTGTGGAGAAGCAACATAAGCAGGCATATGGCCATAATTTGGCTGACTGGTCATATAGTTCCCTCTTTAACCCCCCCCATTTACTCTCCCCCAGTGCTGTCTTTGGCGACTTCACACAGGCGCTGTGTCTCCTCAGGGCGCTGTCTTACGTGGGTGGCAGGGTAGGGTAGGCTCGCCATCTGTTATTTTGCCCTCTTTTTCCAACCTTCTTGCTCATAGTAGCAGGTTCCGTTGAAGTGATTGGCTGAAGTCCAGGGAGTGGGGGAGCCATGTGACTTTATCTCAGCTACATGCCTATCTACTGTCTTTAGCATCAGTATAGCAACTGAGTAATATTTTTTGAATGCCCTATTTTACAGATTATTGCCTTTATACGTACAAATCTTATGATGCAAAATGGATTCATTTACAAATTGTGGTGTTAGCTTGTTAAAGGATTTAGTTCATAATTCCCATAAATTTAGCCTAGAAAAGCATTTTTTAATTAAAACTCTAAATTCCAGTGGTGAAAATGGGCTTATTTGATTCAAATATGTGCTAAAGATTTTTAAAGCCCGCAAGCTTCAAGGTTTAGTTTCCCATCTCAACAGATGGAATTAACACAAACATAACAAAGTTAACATCATGGTTGTTTGCATTATTAATCTTCAAATGCATGGCATTCTGCTACCTTGCTAGCCAGGTTTGCACGAATCCTTTCATTGCAACATATGTCAACAGAAATGTGCTTCCATCTGCTGCCGGATAGCTTGATGCCTGATATTCCGAGACAAGGCCCAGCACAATGAGTACCTCTGTGAGTAATTACAGGTGTGTGGTGAGGAGCCTAGGGCATTAATCAGAGGCTTAATTATGAAAAAGGTGGATCTTTTGTTCCACTCTTGGATCCTGAGTTTACCACACACTTTCTAAACTGCAGCATCCATCTGCTCGGTCCCTTAGAATGTTTGCCTTGACTGATACGGACCTTAAAGTGTATCAAAGGACGTGATTAAAGTAGGCTTAAACATTAACCTGGAAGAAGCGTGGTTCATGGTTTTTTTTCCTTCCTTCCTTCCTTTTTTACTTATCTATCTATCTGTTTATTTCTGGTGTAGGACAAAAGTCTGCTGAAATGCTAAAACTTTGAATTAGTACTTGCTAAACTATTTACTATATGTGAACTCTACTGAATTAAGCATTATGCAGTAATTTTAAGAATGTAAAGGTCAAGATTTGTAGAAACTAAGACCCATGTAAGGAAAAAAAAGTCTTAGGAAAAATGGTTTGTGAACATATACAAATTTTTTTAGGAAGATAAGTTGTTAAATAAAGTTATTTTTATTATGACAGACTTAACATGTTAGAATTTAGCATGTAACTACTGCTTTGCTCTAATGTGATACTGATAGAATTAAATCAGGATTATTTTTAAGGATTTTTAAGATAACCACACTGAAATCTAAGAAAAGAAACTAGGATTTTGTGTGTGTGTGTGTGTGTGTGTGTTTTGCTTCTTACTCTTATATTGAGACTATAATAAGTTGTGAAACTATAAGTCACGTAACTATAATATAGTCATGTAACATTTTAGTCAGTGGCAAACCACATATATGATGGTGGTCCTATAAGATTATAGTGCTGTATTTTTACTGAACCTTTTCTGTGTCTAGATGTGGTTTGATATGCAGATAATTTCCATTGTGTTACAATTGCCTGTACTATTCGGTATAGTAACATGTTGTGCACATTTTTAGCCTGGATGTGTAGTAGGCATCTATCATCTAGGTTTGTGTAAGTCACTCTATGATGTTCACAAGATGATGAAATTGCCTAACAGCACATTTCTTAGAATGTATCCTCGTCATAAAGTGACACGACTGTACTTCAGTGTGTGTTTTGATTAATGTACATGGCCAACAGCTGCATAAGTTTGTGATTTGTGGTTTTCTTACTAATTCCTGTTACACACACACACACACACACACACACACACTTGCACAGATGGCTTCAGAGATGTGGCCTGGCCATGGATGGCATGAATGCTGTCCAGTGGTGGACCCCTGATCTGCCACAGGCAAGAATTAGATATCTGCTTCAGACCAGAGCCGGGGGTGAGGGGCATCCAGCCATCAGTGAGAGGCCATCACAGACACAGGAACACAAGGTGTCTAGGGCAGATGATACTCTTCACACTGCACTCTGTGCAAAAGGCCACTAGTGCACTTTGTACTTGCACCGAGATCACACATATATTCAGAACCATGCTGATTCCCTGACCTTAGCATTTCACTCATTACAACATTACCTTCGCACTCTGCATATTCCCATTTCTTAACACATAAAACTATCTGAAGAGTGAAATTGTCCATCTCGTTGCCTACTTTAAGATATTTTAATGTAACTGTGTGCTTTAACTGTGGCAAATTGAAAGCTAAAGACAGGACATATGTTTTGTTTTAGTGATAGATATTTGAGGGTTTTAATTGCATATTTACCTCATTACTCCTGTAGCTTGTCCAAGGAGCCTACCTTTACATGGAAGACAGAAGAAATGTCTAGTCTCAGAGTCATGGTTTAGATTTTGCATAATTCATCTTACAACTTGGTGTCTCCAATCTCTCACCTTTAAAATGGGTACAGTAACCCTTGGAGTAGCTCAGTTTCCAATATCTCTTTCATTGAAAATTATCTGTGATCTGTGCTGTCTTAGATTATTATACAGTGGTCATATGTACCACTACAAACACTACTTTGGAATTTTGTGTTTGAACATTACAATTGTGTTTTCTTATCTTCCCTTTTAGGATATCTTAAACACCATCATAAGGCACTGTCCACCCCGCTTTTTCTCCCTGGGTTTTCCTGGCTTCTCAATGCTGGTGGGGGACTTCATCACAGCCGCTGCCAGGGTCCTTAGCACAGACATGTTGACGGTGAGTATGACAATGCTCAGCATCCCGGCTCCCAAGAGGCTTCACAATAGCTAACAAGGTTCAGATTTCTCCACTCTTAACAGGTGTTGACTCATTAGTGCAATGTGAAACTGGGCTCTCAGGGTAGATACCCTGGCAGCTGATGTGTGAAATTGTAGGATAAGATGACACACTGGTATTGGAAAGGCGTTTCATCAAAAGGCCAAAGTGTGAGAAATCATATCCTCACTAATATTTCAGCACATTTACACAGTCAGAAGCAGGACTTGTCTCTTAGAATATTATTAGCATTTTCCAGTAAATGGTGGCACAGACATAAATGTCTAAAATAGAGAGTTTTAAAATGTACATTAGCAGTATGATTTTTTAAAATTAAGTCTTGGTTATTATAAGTCTCATAGAAAATATTTTCTTAAAATGTTAGAACACTAAAATCTTAACTAGAAGTGAATATGTATTCTCTTAATAACATGCCAGAATACTTTGGCAGAATTTTTGTAATAAAAAATTGGAAGTGGACTAAATGATCAGTAAGGGCTGCAGAAAAATTTATTTTTACTCTCTACATTTACCTCTACTACTAAGACAGTATCTTTTTCTTTTCTTTTCTTTTTTTGTTGTTGTTTTTCAAGAGACAGGGTCCCATTCATTCTCCACCTGGGCTGAAGCGCAGTGGTGCTATCATGCCTAGATCACTGTAACCTCAAACTCCTGAGGTCAAGTGATCCTCCCACCTCAGCCTCCTGAGTAGTTAGGACGGCAGATACACACCACCATGCCTGGCTGATTTTTAAATTTTTTGTAGAGATTGGAGTCCCTCCATGTTTCCCGGATTGGTCTCAAACTCCTAGCCTTAAATGATCCTCCTGCCTCAGCCTCTAAAATGTTAAGATTATGGGTGTGAGCCACTGCACATGGCCAAAGCAATATCTTAATGCCTTTTTGAGAGAATACTGTTATACCTTTAAAATGAAAGGACCTTTTCCATTTGTGCTCTTTAAGCTGTTACATATTCAGAGTTATTTTTGCCTCTTCAAATGGTATAAATAAAATTAGCTTTACTATTTGCTAAGCATTGGTATCGAAATCAGTGTGGCCATCCAACAACCTAAAGCTTGTTTGATATGTGATTACTTTTTCACTTTACTTATTTCTTCTTTTCAGGGTAAATTCAAACTTCAAGCCCTTGGTTTTAAATTAAACTGTTTAAAAATACTTCCTGTAGCTGGTATTTCATGTTGGTGCTTTCACACACTAACTTTTTCTTATAAAGATAAATTAGAAAACAAAGAGAAGTGAAAAGAGACAGGAGCAAAAGGGAAGAAAGGTAAAAGAGAAGAAGAGGCCAGGCATGGTGGCGTAAGTATAGTTACAGCTATAGGAGACTCAGGAAGCCGAGGTGGGAGAATCACTTGAGATCAGGAGTTTGAGTTCAGCCTGGAATCGCCACACTGTCTTCCACTATGGTTGAACTAATTTATACTCCCACCAACAGTGTAAAAGTGTTCCTATTTCTCCACATCCTCTCCAGCATCTATTGTTTCCTGACTTCTTTTTTTCTTTTGAGACAGAGTCTTGCTCTGTCACCCAGTAGCTGGGACAACAGGCACCTTCCACCACACCCAGCTAAGTTTTGGTATTTTTAGTAGAGACAGGGTTTCACCGTGTTAGCCAGGATGGTCTCGATCTCCTGACCTCGTGATCCACCCGCCTGGGCCTCCCAAAGTGCTGGGATAACAAGCATGAGCCACCATGCCCGGCCTGTTGTCTCCTGACTTTTTAATGCTTCTAACTGGTGTGAGGTGGTATCTCATTGTGGTTTTTTTGATTTGCATTTCTCTAATGACCAGTGATGATGAGCTTTTTTTCATGTTTGTTGGCCACATAAATGTCTTCATTTGGGAAATATCTGTTCATAATCTTCACCAACTTTCTGACGGGGTTGTTTTTTTTTTTCTTATAAGTTTGTTTAAGTTCCTGCCAGGCTCGGTAGCTCATGCCTGTAATCTCAACACTTTAGGAAGCTGAGGCGGGCAGATCATGAGGTCAAGAGATTGAGACCATCCCGGTTAACACAGTGAAACCCCGTCTCTAATAAAATTTAAAAACATTAGCTGGGTGTAGTGGCACACGCCTGTAGTCCCAGCTATACTCAGGAGGCTGAGGCAGGAGAATCGCTTGAACCTGGGAGGCAGAGATTGCAGCGAGCTGAGATCGCGCCACTGCACTCCAGCCTGGGTGACAGAGCGCGACTCCCTCTAAAAAAAAAAATGCTTTAAGTTCCTTGTAGATTCTGGATATTAGCCCTTTGATGGTTAGATTGCAAAATTTTTCTCCCATTCTGTAGGTTTTCTCTTCACTCTGATGATAGTTTCTTTTGCTGTGCAGAAGCTCTTTAATTTAATTAGGTCCCATTTGTCAATTTTGGCTTTTGTTGCAGTTGCTTTTTGTGTTTAGGTCATGAAGTCTTTACCAATGCCTATGTCCTGAATGATATTGCCTAGGTTTTTTTTCTAGGGTTTTTATGGTTTTAGGTTTTATGTTTAAATCTTCAATACATCTTGAGTTAATTTTTGTATAAGGTGTAAGGAAGGAGTCCAGTTTCAGTTTTCTGCATATGGCTAGCCAGTTTTCCCAACACCATTTATTAAATAGGGAATCCTTTCCCCATCGCTTGTTTTTGTCAGATTTGTCAAGGATCAGATGGTTTTAGATGTGTAGCATTATTTCTGAGGCCTCTGTTTTGTTCCATTGGTCTATATGTCTGTTTTGGTACCAGTACCATGCTGTTCTGGTTACTGTATCCTTGTACTAGAGTTTGAAGTCAGGTATCGTGATGCCTCCAGCTTTGTTCTTTTTGCTTAGGATTGTCTTGGCTATGTGGGTTCTTTTTTGGTTCCGTATGAAATTTAAAGTAGTTTTTTCTAATTCTGTGAGGAAAGTCAATGGTACCTTGATGGGAATAGTATTGAATCTATAAATTACTTTGGGCAGTATGGCCATTTTCATGATATTGATTCTTCCTATCCTTGAGCATGGAGTGTTTTTCCATTTGTTTGTGTCCTCTCTTATTTCCTTGAGCAGTTCACATCCCTTGTAAATTGTATTCCTAGGTGTTTTATTCTCTTTGTAGCAGTTGTAAATGGGAGTTCACTCATGATTTGGCTCTCTGCTTGTCTATTATTGGTGTATAGGAATGCTCGTGATTTTTGCACATTGATTTTGTATCCTGAGACTTTGCTGAAGTTTCTTATCAGCTTAAGGAGTTTTTGGGCTGAGAAGATGGGGTTTTCTAAATATACAATCATGTTATCTGCAAACAGATAATTTGACTTCCTCTCTTCCTATTTGAATATGCTTTGTTTCTTTCTCTTGCCTGATTGCCCTTAAAGTAGCCTTACAGACATACATTTGGCTAATAGTACAGTAGCTCCATTTTATCCTCAGTTTCACTTTCTGATATCAGTTACCACAGTCAGTGGTGGTCCAAAAATATTAAATGGAAGGTTCTAGAAATAATTCAGAGTTTTAAATTGCACACCATTCTGAGTAGCATGATGAAACCTTGAGCTGTCCTGGCCCATCTTGTCCGGGACATGGATCATTGCTTTGTCCAGTGGATCCACGTGGTATCTGCTACGCACCCATTAGTCACTTAGTGGCCATATCTGTTACCAGGTGGACTGCTGTGATATCACAGTCCTTGTGTTCAGGTAATCTTTATTTTACATAATAGCCCCAAAGCGCAGGAGTAGTGATGCTGTCATATTGTTATTATTGTTCTATTTCGTTATTAGCTGTTATTGCTAATCTCTTACTGTGCTTAATTTATAAATTAAAATTTTTTCAAAGATATGTATGTATTGCAAAAACAATAGTATATATAGGGTTTGGTACTATCCACAGTTTCAGTCATCCACTGAGGGGTCTTAGAATGTATCCCCTTCAAAAAAGAGGGAACTGTTGTATATGAAAAATGCTCAAGATCACCAGGGAAATGCAAATTAAGATCACAATGAGATAATTACCTCCCTGTTAGGATGGCTTTCACCAAAAAGACAAAAGATAAGTGTTGGCAAGGATGTGGAGGAAAGAGAACTCTTGTACACGTTAAAAAAAAAAATCTCCTTTTATTTGAATTCATTATATATTGCCTAGATTGCAATATATAATGTCCATTTATTGCTCCATTCCCTTTGTGATCACCACTTACCAAAACAGTGATTCTTCCTTATTTGAGGCCTCTGACAGAAAAAACTAGGATGAGATTTGACATCACAACCGACACATCCCCAAAGACACAAGTTAAAAACCTATTGATAGGGATCAATATGTATATTAAAACAATATGTATATCAAAATATTACGTTGTATATACTTTAAGTATATAATTTTTTTTTTTTTTAAGGTGGAATCTCACTCTTTTGCCCAGGCTGGAGTGCAGTGGCGCAATCTCGGCTCACTGCAACCTCCGCCTCCTGGGTTCAAGCAATTATCTTGCCTCAGCCTCCTGTGTAGCTGGGATTACAGGTGCCCACCACCAGGCCAAGCTAATTTTTATATTTTTAGTAGAGATGGGGTTTTACCATGTTGGTCAGGCTGGTCTCGAACCCCTGACCTCCTGATCCACCCACCACGGCCTCCCAAAGTGCTGGGATTACAGGTGTGAGCCACCACGCCCGGCCCATAAATTTTTATTAATTATACTTTAGTAAAGCTGGAAAGAAAGAATCAACACAATAGAGACTACTCAAATCAAAGATGGTATAAAGATAAATGTAAAGGTCAAATTCACATAAAAAAGTGTTGCCAAGGTAGGAAAATAAATAACCAAGAAATAACCAGAACCTGGAAAAACACAAACTAGAAAATGTGGAGGGAAGAAAGTACTAAAATATAAACCAGGAATGTGCTTCAAAAAATTCAGAAAGGATGAAATACAAAACCAGCTTGCAATAAAGAAAAAAGTGTTATGTTCTTTGAAACTACAATAAAAGAGACATGAGTGCCTTATCTTTTAAGCCTTTTAAAGGCATCGAATTTGCTTGGTCTTTAACACATATATCAATGTTACATAATATTATATACATTTTTCTTTACTATCTGCCTGAAGTATGATAGTAGGAATAAATGTTACAGCCATGAATTGCTTTTTAATTCTGTTTTCAAATATTGCACATGAGTGTTTGGGTTAGTAAATGGTTGAGTACTGGGTATGCTAATCATACCATTTTTTCTACACATTTTCATCCCCTTGTACACTTTCGGTGGGAAGGTAAATTGGTACAGCCATTATGGAAAACAGTATGGAGGTTTCTCAGAAAGTTGAAAATAGAACTACCATATGACCCAGCAATCCCACTTCTGGGTATATATCCAAAGGAATTGAAATCAGTATGTTGAAGAAATATCTGCACTCTCATGTTCAGTGTAGCAGCATTCACAATAGCCGAGATATGAAAGCAACTTAAATGTCTATTGACAGATGAATGGATAAAGGAAATGTACATATCTCCAGTGGAATATTATTCAGCCTTCAAAAAACAAAGGAAATTCTGTTGTTTGCAACAGCATGAATGAACCATTTTTCCAAATGAAAGAAGCCAAACTCAGAAAGACAAATACTGTGTGGTGTCACTTATATGTGGAATCTAAAAAAGTCCAACTCCTAGAAGCAGAGAGTAGAATGGTGGTTCCCAGGGGCTGTGGTTGGGATGGGGGGAGATGGGGTGATGTTTCTCAGTGGTCAAAAGTTTCAGTTATGCCGAATGAATGAGTTCTGGAGATCTCAGTGTGGTCACTATAGTTAATAATACTATATTATAAACTTGAAATTTTCTAAGAGAGTAGATCTTAAATGTTCACAACTCACGCATAAAGGAACTAACTATATGAGGTGATATATTAATTCACTTGTTTGTGGTAATCATTTCACTATGTATATGTATATGTATATCAAAATATTATGTTGTATATACTTTAAATATATAAATTTTTATTCATTATACTTTAGTAAAGTTGAAAAAAAGAATCAACACAAAATTAATAAAGTAGCCTTCCAAAATGTTTTTTTAAAAGAGAGAGAATATGAATGAGAATGTGAATCTAAGAGTTACATGAAGGAACCACACTCTGTTAGTACTTTCTTGTTTAAACTTGAGGTTAAAATTGTAGAGGAACTGGTGAAAGGTGTTTGGGCTGGAGCATACTTGCTCAGTCAGAATTTTCAGTTAGCACAAGGTAATTACCAGTTTGAAGTACCCCTGCTAGGTAGGTCTGCCCCACTGAGGCAGTAGGGGAGGGAGATGCACAGATGGCTCGCCCAAGTCACCAAGAGATGAGGAGAAGCTTGTGCGCAGCAACATTATTTGTAACGGCCAAAACCTAGAGCCAATGCAAATGCCCATCAGCAATAGAAACAGATAAATTATGGTGTGTACATAAGATGGATTATTATATACAATGAAAACACAGGATCGGTTACATAACATAATGAATGAAAGAAGTCAGACACAAAAGAACATATACTCTAATTTCATTTATTTAATTGAAAAACCAGACACAACCAATCTGTGGTGTTACAGCAGAATGCGGTTACTTTGGGGGAGGGGAGGCTATCATGGGAGGGGCACAAAGAGGACTTCTGTGGGTTGGTAATGATATTCTTCCTGTTGTCTGTCTCTACGTCCTCAGGGCTCCGACCTCTGTCATCACTTCTCTCTCTGTGCACTCCACAAAGACGCATGCATTCAGTTCCTCTGAACACATCTGAGTTGTCATCCCAGAGTTTTCTCTCCTAACCTCAGGACAAGCATTTCAAAAAGTCTTCTTCAGAACAGTAATCTCCCCAGATACTCTGGGGGAAAGGGAAGGAAGAAAGCCAGATTCATAGTCAAGTAATTTTGGGAAACACACTTCTTCACTTGGAAATTCACAGCGTACAGTAACACGTTAAACGTTTCTATTTAATTGTGCTTAGACAAATGTGTCTGCAACGTCTTTTTCCTGGGAGTCTTTGTTTTTGCCCTTTCACAGTTGCTGTGGCCCTAGTGGAACATACTTTGGAGACAACTGCTTCTGACCCTTTCAGCCTCCCGTCTCATGGGCACCTGCCTCTTCCCTACTCAGCTGGCTGCCTCACCCACCGCCAGCCTGCCTGATTTCTACTCCCCTCTGTGGCCCTTAGCAGCAGTTTGTTTTAGGTTTCTTAAACATCCTGAGCAGAACCAGTCCTAGCCTCATCCCATAGAATAGCTCTGCCGTGCTTTCTATTGCCTTTTATTTACCTGTGTACTTACGGGAACCAAGCTAGGTAAAAAATGAAGGACTGGGCTCCCGTGCTATGTTGCTCTCCTAGCAGGTGCTTCACTGAATTGTGTATAGCTGTTATTTGCCTCTCCTCCCCTACCTCACATACTGTGCCTCATCTCTCTGAGAGAGTAAAACTCTCTAATTTTATAGCCTAAGTGCTTAACTATAGGCTCAGTCTGTACCTGGGGCTAGATGGCCTCAGTTCAAATCCAGGGTGATCACTTAGGAGCCATATGGCATTGAAAAGCTACTTAACTTCTTTGAGTGTCAGTTTTCTCACTGGAAAATGAAAACAATAGCCTCTCCTTCATTGGCTTGGTGAGGGGACTTTATGAGGAAATGCCTGTACAGCACTTAGAAGAGTGCCTACCACAGAGTGAGAACTCCTTAAATGGGAGCTTTCATTGTTTTAATTATTACATAATAGTAGACAGATAGATGGACAGATAGGTAAGTAGACTGATGACAGACCTGTGTCATCCCCTATTCTTGGCTAACCACAGCTGCTGTTGTTGACTGAATTGAAATCTAGTGAAATGCCTTTTTTCTTTTTTTTGAGACGGAGTCTCACTCTGTTGCCTACGCTGGAGTGCAGTGGCACCATTTGGTGCAACCTCCATCTCCTGCAACCTCCATCTCCTGGGTTCAAGCAAGTCTCCTGCCTCAGCCTCCTGAGTAGCTGGGATTACAGCTGCCCACCACCACGCCTGGCTAACTGGCTAGTTTTTGTATTTTTAGTAGAGATGAGATTTCACCATGTTGGCCAGGCTGGTCTTGAACTCCTGACCTCAGGTGATCCGCCCGCCTCGGCCTCCCAAAGTGCCGGGATTACAGGTGTGAGCCACTGCACCTGGACGTGCCTTTTTAAATATATGCCTAATTCTAACACTGGGCAAATAAGAGAAAAGTATCTCACTAGATATAGTGATATAGTATCTCATCATATGTTGTTTCATAAAGTAGTTCTTGGTGATAGACAGGAAATGTGATAGTTTGTCTTCTCTTTCTACCCTCTGATAGTTACCTCCATCTCTACTTCTCTATGAATTCTCCTTAATTGTTCTTAGCAGCAAAATGATACTAAGTTGATATCCTTTACCCTGCTTTGTTGAGAACATTAGCAGTAAAACAATGTAAACAGTCATGACAGAGTCATTGGCCTTTCTAATTCTGAATGAATCTGCACATCAGTTTCCACAACACTTATTTACCTCCAAGTATAGTGATATTTTCCATTCCTTAGAAATTTGTTTTTCCGTTTAGGCAAACCTCTTTTGCTTAAATATTCACCCGGAAGAGAATAACTCGACCAAGTTTGGTATTTTTTATCTAGGATGAAGAATAAAACGTCGCTTATGTAATGTTTCTAACTTACAAAAAGAGAAATGTGTGTGCTTCTCTTCCTTATGTGCAGGCGCCTCGTTCAGAGGCTGTCACTGTCCTTGGCTCTCTGGTCTGCTTTCCAAATACCTACCAGGAGATTCCTTTACTGCAGTCTGTGCCAGAAGTAAATGAGGCCATTACAGGAACTGAAGATGTCAAGGTACATAATGCATTTGACTGTATCTCAAGTTTAGCACTTTTTATAATTCTGGCTGTATGATTATCTCTTCCATTAGTATATATTAATCTGCGTATTCCTGAAATTTTGTTGTATCTTTTAAATGTTTCAGTAGGTGTTTTTAGAAGGCTATTCGTGGGCTATACATACGTTAAATTCAGAGCATATTGCAGTTAGACCTTATAGCTATAGCTAAAGCAGGTGTTTTTTGTTATACCTGTTTATTGGGCCTAGGGATCATAATCATGTAGTGAATTGCCTTTGGTAATAATTTTATTAACTTAATTAACTGCATTAGTGCATCAAGTTAATTTATAAGAAATAATGGAAGTAAGCTAAATACTCAATCATGTTGTTGGCCTGATTAAATACTACTAATAATTTGAGATTCTAAATTATTTATTGGCGAATAAAAGTAAGCATTTGTTCTCTCCTCAGCTGACTTTGAGGTAAACAAAAATGCTTTTAGAATCCCAGAATCAATCAAGCTATAAAACATAATTACAGTATATAATTCAATGTACAACATTTAATTCAATTAAAGTAAAAGAAAACCGAGATTTTCCTATCTGGAAGTCTCATTTGCTTTATACCAGAAGCGCTCTACTCCCACGGGCTGAATGGCTTAGGGAGGCCCTGTGGAGACCCCCATCCTCCACCACCCACTCCCCCGAGCCCAGTGTTCTTCTCGCCTCAGGCTCTCACTCATAGATGAGCTCTCTGAGCTCCCTGGTTGAACTTCAGTAGTTCCTGGCTGCCTGGAACATGGTCAGAACATGTGGGAAACCAACTATGACAAAAAGTTTTTATTTTACTTAATTTTGTGTTTTTAGCATTACCTCATAAATATTTTACTGAAGAATGCCACAGAAGAACCAAATGAATATGCAAGGTAAATGTTGAATAAGAGGTAAACTATTTTAGAATTTTAAGATACACATTTATGTGTAAGTAGTTAATGTTACAAAAGAAAACACTTATTCTTTCACATAGCTCTTATACAGACTGAAAAGTATAGGAATAATGATGCCAGGAAGATGCTTTGCATGATTATTTAAAAAGGTATCATTATTAAGTAAAAATTGTAAAGTGCAGAAGAGTATACATAATACACTATTTTGTGTGAGAAAAAGCAAGATTACAAATATAATCATGTATCCTCTAATTAATTTTCAAGAAGAAAGAAAATGAAAATATAAACCAAATATTTATAGAAATATAAATATATAAATATAAATAGTTGGTGTATGTGTAGGGTAGTGACTCTCAACCAGTGACAATCTTTTACCCCAGGAGACATTTGGCAGTGTCTGGAAACATTTTGGCTGCTTCTGCCAGGCATCTGAGGTAGCCAGCAACCTATGACCAAGATACATGAGGTTTTCTGAGCCACTTATGTGATAAAAAGTTTCTGCCTCTCCTCCCAAGGTGAAGACCAAAGCTGGGAATGCTGATGGAGGGGAACACCTGTCTCCGATCCTCAATTTCAAACCCCATAAGGTCACCAGAAGCCCAGCTCAGCCTCTTACTCCCTCCTAGGAACGGTTCATGTTCTGCTCCCTCTGTAGCCTCATTCCAAGACAACAGCCCATCATTCCTCACTGCCTTATCAGCTATTTGATGATTTTAAGGGTTTTTTTCTCTTGTATTTTGTATAATTTCTTTGGTTATCTTCAGTAGATGGGTTAGTCCAAATTTCCTAGTCTGCTGTTACCAGAAGCTAAACTGATAATAATTTGCAAATATTAAGCTAACATTGCATTTTTGGATAACCTCAACTTGGTTTATGTGATACCAGACCTGGTTTGGCTAATATTTTGTTCAGGAAAATTGCTTTTATGTTGATGGCCTGTAATATTCCTTCCCCATCCTTCGCTTATCAGGTTTAATTATAAGGTTTTAAAGTCTCACAAAATGAGTTAAGTACTATTTCATTTTCTTTCATTGGAAGGAGTTTTTACAGAATTAGAATTAATATTCTTGTGTATTTAGTAGACCTTGGTGGTAAAACTACCTAGGTCTAATATTTTCTTGATGATTAACCACTGACTCATTCTCTTCAGTGATTTTAGGACTATTAAGGTTTCCTTCTTCTTTTTTTTTTTTTTCTTTTTTGACAGTATTGATGAACCAAACTTTTCTAGGAATTAGCCCATTTCACCTAAATTTTAAAATATACTGGTATATGAGTTATCTCTATTATATTTTATTTCTTTCACTTCTATGGTTACATCCACTTTTTAAATCTCTGACACGTTTTTTGTATCCTCTGATTTTCTGAAGTAGTCTTGCTAAAGATTTGTCAATTTTATTAGTCTTTTCAAAGACTAGCCTTTGGTCTTTGTTCAACTTCTCTATTGTATATTTGCATTTATTTCCCACTCTCTGCTGTTTTCTATCCTTCCTTTTGTTTTCTTTACAATCTTACCTTTAAGGTTATATATTATTTTCTTACCTTTAAGGTTATATATTTAGTATATTAATTTCTCCTTTACAGATATAAACATTTAAGACTACATGTTTATTGCTAGTTACTACTTTGTCTGAATTCTATAGGTCTCTTTTTGTTACTGATGTCTTAGTTAATTGCATTATGGATCAAAATGTCTTACAACAGTCTGAAATTGTTGAAATTTGCTTAATGACCTACTAGGTAGTCAGTTTTTGTCAATATCTCATATAAACTTGAAAAAAATGTATGCCCTGTTCTTTGTTGGGCATAGTGTTCTAGTTGTGTTTATTAAATTTTTTTAATCCTGGGCTTCAAATATTCTGTATCCTGTCTGATTTTTTTTCATCAGCTTGATCACCTTCTGGAAGAAAAATGTTACAATCTCCTGCTATTTTGGTGTGTTTATGTATTTCTCCTTATATACTGTCAAATTTTGCTTTATATATTTTGAGGCTATGTGATTAGTTGCATAAAAGTTTAGAATTGTCCTATACAGTGAATCAAATATTTTATATTTTTTTAGTGACTCTTTATTTCTAAGGAGGATTTTTTTTATCTTAAAGACCACTGGTTTAGTTACTTTTAAGTAATACTTTCTATTCTTTTTAATTAACTTTTTTATATTCTTCTTTTAGGTATCTTTGCAAAAACTGTATATATCCAGATTTTATAATTTTATCCCATCTGATCTTTATTTTTTAACTGAAGCTTTAGGTTCATTTTCATTTGTTATAATTACTGGTCTGTTTGGATATACTTCTTTTATCATATGTTATACTTTATTTTTAATAGGAAAGAAAGATCCAATTAAAAATAAGGTACTTCTTTTATTTCTCCTTTATCTTGCCTTCATTTCCCCATCCCCTGTTTTTCTTTCTTCTTCTTCTTTTTTTTTTTTTTTTTGGATTTTTCTCCATTCTATTTATTACCTCAATTGTTTTTAAATCGTAGGCTCCCTTTCCTTCTTTTAGAGGTTATACTAGATATTTGAACACGCATACTTACCAAGCCTGCAGTTAGTCTCTCGTTACTCTCTTCCTGAACAGTGCGTGTTCCTCAGAACATAATTCCCTGATTTTGCTCCTACCTCACTGAACTTTCTCCTTTCTGTCCCCTTTGCTGACCTTTCCTCCTCTACCTAACCTCTGATGAATGTTAGAGTGACTCAGGGTTTAGGGCTGGGCCTATTCTCTGTATGACTTCCTGGGTACTCTTATTCTGATCAGCCTTTAAATACCATCTTCCCTCTGATTTATTTATCTGCCTCTTCATTGAGCCCCTTTTATACTCAGACTTATATATTAAACTGCCTACTTGACATCTCAACTTGAATGTTTTAACACAACTATAACTGCACCCTTGAGTCTGCTTCTGACCCCCCTACCCCGCCTCCGAGCTGACTGTCCCTCAGATTTCATCTCACCACATGGCCCCACCATTCCCCCAGGTTTTCGGTTAAGAAATTTAGAGAAAACCCTTGATTTCTTCTTTTTCCTACACCTACTGCATCTGAATCATAAAGTCTTGGCAATTCTTCTTCCTCTCTTTTTAGTTCAGAAAGCCAAATTTCTGTGGAGTTAAAAACAGAATAGAAATGCATATGGCATGCTCAGCTTTCTGTAAAGAGTATCTGGTCCTAGCACATTGTTTAGAGGAATTAACAGTGAAATTTATTTTGAAAATTGTATTTAAATATACTTTAAAATAAAATATAGCATTTGTTTTATGTTTGTGGTAGGTATTGTGCATATTACTGTAAAGAAAACAATTACAAACTCCATTTTTGGCAGTTTCCTCAGATTTATGTTTTTTATTCTTCCTCAAAAATATCTTGAAACAGTAAAATGTAATAACCTATTAGTTTCAACAAAACTAGGTAAGCTGGGCACAGTGGCTCACGCTTGTAATCCCAGCACTTTGGGAGGCCAAGGTGGGTGGATCACGAGGTCAGGGGTTTGAGACCAGCCTGACCAACATGGTGAAACCCTGTCTCTACTGAAAATACAAAAATTATTTTGTGGTGGTGGGCGCCTGTGGTCCCAGCTACTCAGGAGGCTGAGGCAGGAGAATTGCTGGAACCCGGGAGGTGGAGGTTGCAGTAAACTGAGATCGCACCACTACACTCCAGCCTAGGTGACAAAGCGAGACTGTCTCAAAACAAAAACAAAAACAAAAACAAATCAAAACTAAGTGGTACATGGGCTGTGACAATTAACAGAAAATATACCATTCAATTAAATATTTAAGTACTAAACCATTATCAATATTTCTGTTTGTCCTGAAAATTGGCCTCTTGAGGATTCTTTATCTTTCCTTTCAAGAAGACATTCTGCTAATAAATCTACAATTTTTGCTATTTTGTATAAATAGATTTAAAGTGTTTTGTTATTTGAAAATACTGAGAAAGTTTATTAAGTTTCATGAGAGTTTTCCTCTGTTTTCTTCTTTTTAAAAAGATGCATTGCTGTTTGCTCCCTTGGGGTCTGGATATGTGAAGAGCTTGCACAGTGTACAAGCCACCCTCAGGTGAAAGAGGCCATCAATGTGATAGGAGTAACTCTGAAGGTATTACCAGTTTGTGGTGCTGATTGGACATTAAGCCATATCTGAGGCATTTAACAGTTTGAGTTTGAATTAGCCCCATCTTTTTTATCCCCCAAATGATAGAAGGATTGTGATTCCCATTGCATGTGCTGCGAGGCTCCCGGGAGGGGCACCAACGGCTGCTCCCCTGCTAGCAGCTGCAGCCCAGCCACCAGTGTCTCGAGGTTCCTGGACCAGTGGCCAGATGGGTTCCTCTGGTGGCTGGGAAGCTCCTGCTGCAAAGAGGACACCTGTCACCTGTTGGTGGGAGTGACAAGAGAGTGGGGTCTCGTGCTGTGGCCTCTTCAGCAGGCCTGGGAGAGACCTCCACAGCTTCTATTTAGGCCCCTCAGTGTTTACCATCTGACTGAATCTTGGGCACTTTAAGGACATCTTTCTCTCTTTGTTCTGTTAATGAGAAGAAGAACTGCCATTCCCTGGGCACTCACACTAGGTCGGAGTAATGGCGAACTCTAAATACTTTTGTTAATCTTCAAGACAGCTCTGCAAGATAGATGTTGCAATTTCTGTTTTATACCAGAGGAAATCAAGGCCCAGAGAAATTAGGTCACAAGCCTGAGGCCACACAGGTGTAAGTGATGGAACCAGCAATAAAAGCAGATCTGTGCGGCATTAAAGACATGCTTGAGCTTTCACATGTGCTGTTAGGCTGCCTCTAAGCCAAAGCTCAAATCCTGCTGGGTCCTTTCCTGGGTCCTGCTTGGAAATGGTGGTAATAAATAGCATTGCCATTATCACCCTTAGGGAACCAGTGAGTGCCTGGTCTCTGCCACGCGCTGTGCTGAGGGTTTTATGTAAGTTTTTAGTTCAGGGGTAAGTGTCCTCAGTTTACTGGTGGAGAAACTGAGGTGCAGGAGCATTCAAGGCCCTAGAATGACCACCTCACTGAACCAAAGTTCAACCCCTGAACCATCCATCCACCTAACACCAGCATTCAGGCTGCTGCGTGCCCTTCTGTGCTGCTGCCACACGCAGCTATAATAGCAACGGCACTTACAGCTGACGCCTGGGACAGTCGCCATCAGGCCAGCAACAGTCGCTGTTCCACCCTTTGTGTATTATCTGCTTCTGTGCATAGGATGACCAGCCAGTGCTGTCTCCCACCCTTGGCTTGGCGTCTGGCCCCTGCCTGACCAAACTCAATGCCTCCTGTTCCCCAAGTACACCCTCTGACCACCCCCATTGCTTCATCCTCCCCCATTTCTCCTCCACAACACCTGGGAGTGGAGGTGGGGGTGGTTGTTGTATTATGGGAGCTGGAAAAACACTTGCTGCTGATCCCTGTGATGAGGAATGGAAAAATTATCCAACCACAGTATCACAGAAGAGTGCCCCTCCAGCCAGAGCAGGGTGCTGACCGCTGACCTTTGTCAGCAGATTTAATCCTCAGAGCTGCCCTGTGAGGGGAAGTGTCAGTGCCACCTCCACTTCACAAATGAGGTGGATGAGCTGACTAGGGACCAAAGGAGCTTGCCAAAGCCAAACCCAGAACACTCTGGCCACATGTGTGGAGTTTTGCACAACTGAGGTGTGTAGGACACCTCCTGACTCCCAAAGCCTTGGAGAAATATTTACATGTAATTTATTAAAGTGAAAACAAGTTGGCTATAAATTATATATCAATGTAGATCCCAATTCATTTTTAAATACCCTTTTTCAATTCTAAGATCTGTTTTTAAATTTTTAATTTTTCTTAAATCTAGAGGTATATATATAGTTAATGTAAGGTGGTTCCCCCATCTCTATTCCTTCCATGGAAAAACTATTAATAACTCAGTGGTGTGTTAGATTGAAGGAGATAGACACACACAGACACACAGAGTCATGCATCGCATAGTGATGGGGATACATTCTAAGAAAGTGTCACTAGGTGATTGCATTTTTGTGTGAATATCATTAAGAGTATTACAGAAACCTGGATGGTTTCTGGACTTTGTGGGATGGCTTGTTGCTCTGAGGTTGTAAACCTATACAGCACACTACTGTACTGAATACTGTAGGAACTGAATATTGAATTGGAACACAATGGTGAGTACTTGGGTATCTAAACATGTCTGAACATAGAAAAGGTACAGAAAAAATATGGCACTATAAGCTTATGAGACTAGTGTTATATCTGCAGTGCTTACCAAATGTTTCCAAAAACATTGTTAGGAGGTACGTGACTGTATATGTGTATCTCTGTATAATACAGGAAAGAGATAGAAATTGCTAACAGAGTAGAAGGATAGATAATCTTTCTGCAACTTTTCATAATTTGGGGGGAAAATATAAGATACCAGAAAAACAATGTGGTTACCACATACTGAGCTCTCCCTCTGTCCGCTATCCCAGCACAGCATAGAGACTGTCCTGCTGAATCCTCCCGCCTCTGGATAGCAGTAAAAGGGAAGAGGACTGAGGAAGGTCAAAGAACTGGCTCCAGCTTGAATTGCTAAGAAAGCAGAGGGATCAGGATGCAGCCAAGTTGTTGGGTCTTTAACCATTATTAATAACAGGAAACTCATTGACTTAAGTCCTGGTCTCTGAGGACACCTCCCTCCCCACTTCCCTCTTCCCTTGCCTCCCTCTAGTTCCCATGTTGCTGTGGCAACTGGGTTGTTTTACCTAAGGACATAGCACATAAATCAAAGAACTGAGGACTGGAAGGGAAAGAGTTGCTACAAGGAACAGGAAGAACAGCCACCACTATGAGAACAGGGGATTCTAGGAGGCTTTGGGGTTCTGCCAGGAGGGAGAGAAATGGAGAAAGAGGAGGCAGTGGGGTCGTCGGCCCCACCGCCAGCTGAGCCTCCGCCTGCTTTTTGGGTAGCGGAGAGTGCAAGCCCTGGCATGGCTTCCTGCTTTACAGGCTCCATGTAAAGCCAGTGCCACCTCTCTTGTAAGAACCCTTCAGAAATGCCCTGCAAAGGTGACCTAGGTGTGCCCTTGAATGTGCAGAGCATTCCACTCAGCGAGGCCTTGCTTGGCTGGTTTGTTTATGGTGGGGTAGCAGATGGATGGTGGGCATGGGGTGGTTGGGGGAGGTGGTTCTAAGCCATAGCCATACTCACCAACTCTTGTGAGCTGTCCAGCCCTGCTCCTTTTCCCACCCCGTCTTCTGAGACATCACTGACTTTCCTCCTTCTCCTTACCCCATTGTTGTGTCTGGCTTTGAGTCCTGCCAGCTGTACTTCCTTAACGCCCATTGAATGCCCATGGTCTGTCCCACACACTACCCAAGTCCATCCCTCACACAGCTTACCCTGCCAATATGGAGCCTCCTGATCAGAGTCACCAGTCCTAGACTGGCCCCCACAGATCACTGTTCATACCACTGTCAGCGGGATATGTCCACACACAGGCTGACCAGTACAGCCCACAGGCTGGAGCGCTCATCATGGCTCTCTGTCGGTATTCTGTGACTGTATGCTGGAGAAGTGAGAGAGCAAATGAATGGCTTATTTCATCTCCACCATTCCCCCACTCCTTCATTACATGTCAGTAACACCACCCTGCTTGCAGCCCCCTGTATCTGACCGACCTTTCCTACCTTGGTGCCCGGGCCCTGCCACCCATGCCTGGAAGGAGACCCCACATCCCCCCTGCGTTCTTCCAGGAACAGCTTAGCTCTCCTCTCCTTCCACGTTGCCGTCTCTCTGCCTGTTTTCCCCCAAGCCCCATGTCCCACTGCTCTCTGCCCATAGCTTTTTTGTCTTGTCGGTCAGCTCTCAGAATTTTCCCTTATCTGTTTCCAGCTTCTTGAGTTCAGAGCTTTGCCAGCCTTATCTTTCCACCTGGTGACTCTACCACTGTGGTGCAGCAGCAGCACACACAGTGCCCGCTCATGTTCTCCCACTCCCTCCGAGTTTCATCTTCACCTTAGGCACACCACGCACATCCTTAAGGGGGGCATGCTAGGCATTAAAGATATAGTGGTGAACAATATATGCAGGAAATAACAGACAAAAAGGTCAGCTCTGATAGCCTGTAATGCCATGAAGGAAATCTAATAGGGGAATAGGATGAAGCTGAAGAGCTGAGGGGGTGGGCCACCACCCAGCTCTCGGGGCAGTGTGGTGGCCTGAGGGAGGAGATGACATTTTGTGCCATAATTTGAAAGATATAACAATGCAAGCCACATGCAGACCTAGGGATTAAGTGTTCCAAGCAAAGTTTAGAAGGAGCAGGTGCAAAGGCCATGGGGCCAGAGCAAGCCAGAGTGTTTGAGAGATGGAACAAGGCTGGTGGAAATTGTATCGTCTGGGATGTGGGGTCTCTGTGGCCAGGGAAGGCTGTGAAGAGCCCCTGAGTGCAACTACTACAGCCCTGGGTTTAGCTAGTGCCTCTCAGGTAGGGGTAGTCAGTAACTGTTTATTCTGTAGAATTAAAAACCTTTCCCTTTCTTCTTCCTTATTCTATACATTTGTCACTGAGGCACTGAACATTGATGATGGTCTGCTTCATGTGGCTTAGAGTGAGGTGTCCCTACACCAGGGTCAGTGACGAATTTTTCCTGCCGTACATAATGAGTTATGGATAATGGTATAGCCCCATGTTCTGGCCAGGGAGAAAAGCAGAGGGTGCCCTTGTCCCTTCTATGCTCTCCCAGCATGAAAAAGTAAGACCTTTAAGGTGCTGCCCTTAGACATGGTACATCACAATAAATGGAAGCATCCAGACCTTGGTGATGAGTTGAGATACATGCCAGCCTCAGGAAACGTACTCAAAATAATTGAGTATACCGTAATTCCTTCGTTATCTTCTCCTATACTCTAACTTTACACATTCTTAGTATGTTATACATGTAGGTCAAGTTTTATTTCATAGGATAGAAAGCCATTTAATCAATCCCTGTTTCTCCATATGTAAAATGAAAATAACATCTACCTTGCAGAGCTGTCAGTGAAGATTTATCAATGAGAGAATGAGTAAAATCCTTGTAAAAGGTTCAGCGTATGGGGATATGTTTTAATTTCCTCTATTTGTCAAAAATATGATTTCTGTGAGCTGAATAAGAAATTTGAAATTATGGTTTTAATTTCCAAATGAGTAAATGAAAGCTTCTTGTTCCTGTAGAACGTTATGTAAATTAACACAATGAGGCTAGAGAAGAGGCAGTTTTAAAATGGTGATGTGACGATGTCTAAACTCTCTGGTAGTAAGACATATTTTTCATCAGTTTGAGGCAAAACAGATAAATGTAATCTATAAGGAACTGAGAAGAAGTAACTATTTTGTCCTTAAGAATGATGTACCTGTTAAGTTATGTGTCTGCTTTGGGATTTGGTTTCCTTTTATAGTTTCCCAACAAAATCGTGGCCCAGGTAGCTTGCGATGTGCTTCAGTTGCTGGTTTCCTACTGGGAGAAACTTCAGATGTTTGAAACCTCTCTGCCTCGGAAAATGGCAGAAGTAAGTCTTTTTTTTCTGTAATACTAAAACATAAGCATTTTCTTTTTATTGTATTTGATATTTAATTAATTATAAATGTTCAAATAATTGTTAGAGAACCGACTATTAAATTGCCACAAGTCACTCGTTTTAAGATTAAGTTAGACTGGTTCTTCTCAGCTGTGATTTCAGGCACTATGTAAAGAAGCCAGCAGTGTTCCAGACAGAGGCTTATACTTGGGGAGTTTGAAAGGCAGGCACGACCACAACAAAGAAACCTTTTGTAGATTGGGCTTCATTCATCAAGAGCAATTTGGATGGTGCCAACAAGGAGTAGGCAGCTGGTTATGATGCCCTCCGTGAGGGGTGGAGGGGGCGGCTGTTGTGTAAAACAGAAGTCTCTCCCAGACTAAAGCCCTGGACCCCACTTTCTGCCCTAGCAGGATTACTGGCCGTAATGAGATTGCTACCATGATAACCTCTGTGTGGGTAACTGGTGGGAGAGAGGGGTGGAAGGAATAGGAGGAATCTTCTCCACAGTCATATCCTGAAGGCCACTTGCGTCCAAGTGTGCTTCGCCTGTACACAAGCAAGCACCGTCACTCCCATAGGTGTCCATGGGATAAGGCACTTCTACTGAGTTTTATAGCTGCACTTTAAACACATGCCCTGTTCTTATACATCCAGTGGTAACTCTTCGAGGAAATTTGATTTGTCCCCGTGAGGTATTACAAGGAGAGAGAAGTGATGTTGGTTTATTTTCTCTCAGCCCTAGACAGATTTCCCTGGAAAGATCACTTTGTTCTCTCAGAGGTACATTAAAAGGCACAAGTGATTTTTGACCTTAAGTGACCTAGAGTGAAATGGAGTTTGGACATGGGAACATAAAATGCTCTGAAATGGAAAGTAGGGTTTTGGGGTGACGATGTAGTTTATCGTCTAAATGGGACTGCTTTTGAGAATGAAAGGGGTGCTGTTTACAGCAGGACAGCAGGTGGAGACTTAGGGTAATTTATAATAAAACTAAAATGGGAGCATTTTCATAATTATTTTTGGAAGTGTTTTTTCACTTCACCATGAAAACTGTGGAAACTGATGTTCAGAATTATGTGGCTGCAGAGAGAAATACTCTTTTCTCTGTCTTCCCCCCTAATTTTTCAACCAGAAAAGTAGAGTAGAAACTGGATGTGACCCCATTGTCTTTTCCTAATTTTCAAGATCACCACACAGCTGGCCCTCTGCTTTGTATCACCTTTCTTTGGTGAGTTGGCACCAAGCTGGCTTTAGTTGCAAGGCCATCGTGGGACTCCTAACATGGGCTTACAAAGGCTTACAAATATTGTCTGTTTGATTGGGGATTTATCTTTTATGCAGATCCTTGTGGCCACAATTGCTTTTCTTTTACCAAGTGCAGAGTACTCCTCAGTGGAAACAGACAAGAAGGTAGGTGGCACATTAACTAAGTTTTTCCTAGAGTTTTTTTTTATTTTAATGTAAGGTAAAATGATAAATACTGTTACAACTAGTGATATCCTTTGTAATATCCTTCTCTATTGGCCTTAACAGTCTTTTTTGTGAAAATGCTATTTATTTATTTACTTGCTTACCTGCCTGTCTAGCACCTGCATGTCCACTGAATACTATGTGTAGGGACAATTCTCTTATTATTGCATGTAGTGAGGTTTAAAAGACTGCAGCATAAGTTACCGGGCATGTTCTTCTTCCAGTTTATTGTGTCCTTGCTACTCTGCCTCTTGGACTGGTGCATGGCATTGCCCGTGAGTGTCCTTCTCCACCCTGTGTCCACGGCAGTCCTAGAGGAGCAGCATTCGGCCAGAGCCCCCTTGCTGGATTATATCTACAGGGTGAGTCTCCACCTGGGTCTGGGGGAATGGAGTGTGGGTTTATATGCCAGAGAAACACCAAAATATGTCTTATGCATGTACTTATTTGTCATTGCCCTTTTGAAAAGGATTTATGGTGGCTAAACTTTTTCTTAAAAAGTAAATAACTTGGCCAGGCACGGTGGCTCACGCCTGTAATCCCAGCACTTTGGGAGGCCAAGGTGGGCAGATCATGAGGTCAGGAGATTGAGACCATCCTGGCTAACAAGGTGAAACCCCGTCTCTACTAAAAGTACAAAAAATTAGCTGGGTGTGATGGCGGGTGCCTATAGTCCCAGCTACCCCGGAGGCTGAGGCAGGAGAATAGCGTGAACCTGGGAGGCAGAGCTTTTAGTGAGAGGCGATCTCGCCACTGCACTCCAGCCTGGGCAACAGAGCAAGACTCCATCTCAAAAAA